CTATACATACTCTCTGCCAATCCCTAGGTACCTTCCCCTCTTTCATACATTTATTAAACAAAACTACCAACCACTAACACTATAACCCCCCTGCTTTTAACATTTCTGTCATGATCCTGTCAGTTCCAGCTGCTTTACCCCCTTTCATTCTACATACTGCCTCATGCACCTCCCCCACACTCACATCCTGCTCTTCCTCACTCCTAAAAGATGGTATACCTCCCTGGCCAATGCATGAAATTACCACCTCCCTTTCTTTGTCGACATTTACAAGTTCTCAAAATATTCCCGCCATCTACCCAATACCTCCATCTCCCCATCTACTAACTCCTCTACTCTGTTTTTAAATGACAAATCAATTCGTTCCCTAGGCTTTAACTTGTTTAACTCGCTCCAAAATTTTTCTTATTTTCATTAAAATTTCTTGACAGTGCCTCTCCCACTCTATCATCTGCTCTCCTTTTGCACTCTCTTCACCTTTCTTTTACTCTCCATATACTCTGCTCTTCTTATAACACTTCTGCTTTGTAAAAAACTCTCATAAGCTAACTTTTTCCCTTTTACTTCATCTTTCCACCAATCACTCCTTTTTCCTCCTGCACCCACCCTACTATAACCACAAACTTCTGCCCCACATTCTAATACTGCATTTTTAAAACTATTCCAACCCTCTTCAAACCCCTCCCCCACTACTCATGCTTGCACTAGCCCACCTTTCTGCCAATAGTTGCTTATATCTCACCCGAACTTCCTCCTCCCTTAGTTTATACACTTTCACCTCTCTCTTACTTGTTGCCATTTTCCTCTTGTCCCATCTACCTCTTTCTCTAACTGTAGCTACAACTAAATAATGATCCGATATATCAGTTGCCCCTCTATAAACATGTACATCCTGGAGCCTACCCATCAACCTTTTATCCACCAATACATAATCTAACAAACTACTTTCATTACATGCTATATCATACCTTGTATATTTATATATCCTCTTCATAAAATATGTATTACTTATTACCAAACCTCTTTCTACACATAGCTCAATTAAAGGCTCCTCATTTTCATTTACCCCTGGCACCCCAAATTTACCTACTACTCCCTCCACAACATTTTTACCCACTTTAGCACTGAAATCCCCAACCACAAGTACTCTAACACTTGGTTCAAAACTCCCCACGCATTCACTCAACATTTCCTAAAATCTCTCTCCTCTACACTTCTCTCTTCTCCAGATGCATATACACTTACTATAACCCATTTTTCACATCCAACCTTTATTTTACTCCACATAATCCTTGAATACATTTATACTCCCTCTTTCCCTGCCATAGCTTATCCTTCAACATTATTGCTACTCCTTCTTTAGCTCTAACTCTATTTGAAACCCCTGACCTAATCCCATTTACTTCTCTCCACTGAAACTCTCCCACCCCCTTCAGCTTTGTTTCACTTAAAGCCAGGACATCCAGTTTCTTCTCATTCATAACATCCACAATCATCTCTTTCTTATCATTCGCACAACATCCTCGCACATTCAGACTTCCCACTTTGGCAATTTTCTTCTTATTCTTTTTAGTAAACATTACAGGAAAAGGGTTATTAGCCCATTGTTCCCGGCATTTTAGTTGACTTTTACAACATGCACAGCTTACGGAGGAAAGATTCTTATTCCACTTCCCCATGGATATAAAAGGAAAAGTATTAAGAACAAGAACTATTAAAATAAAATCACAGAAAACTCAGATGAGTGTTTATAAATAAACGTGTACATGTATATATAGTGTGACCTAAGTGTAAGTATAAGTAGCAAGACGTACCTGTAATCTTGCATATTTATGAGACAGACAAAAGACACTAGCAATCCTACCATCATGTAAAACAATTACACTCACTTGGCAGGACGGTAGTACCTCCCTGGGTGGTTGCTGTCTACCAACCTACTACCTATATATCACTCGTTTGTGATTATTGCACACACACACACACACACACACACACATATATATATATATATATATATATTTTTTTTCAACAAGTCGGCCGTCTCCCACCGAGGCAGGTATATATATATATATATATAATAATATATATATATATATATATATATATATATATATATATATATATATATATATACAATAATCACAAACGAGTGAAAAACGGGTGCAAAACAACACAAGGGGGAGTTGAGCGACAGTTTTAGAGATTTCGTGTAGCCATAGTTATAGATCTGCTCTGTCTTTTAACCTCAAGCCTGTAAAGTCAAAGGACACAAGTGCAACTAATGTGACATTTTATTGTGGCAACGTTTCGCTCTCCAGGAGCTTTATCAAGCCATTACAAACAATACATGGACACAGAGGGTATATATAGGCTCAGAGTGAGGTGCAATACTAGTGGTGGTGGTGGTAGTAGTAGTAGTAGTAGTAGTAGTAGTAGTAGTAGTAGTGACAAAAGTTGTAGTGGTAGTAGTAATACAATATGGTAGAACAATTAATTCGTACATGAGTAAAAGGATATAAAAGCTATTACTTGAGTAACATAAAAATAGGTTGGACAAATATAGACTGGATAGAGGCAGCCTGTTTCAGTGTTCACTCTCTGTAATGTGTTTTGTGTAGTATAACAGGAGAGACTATGTGATGGCAGGGTTTACTGTTTTCAGGAGGATTCTTGCTAAGACTTCAGAGATGGTGAAGCTGCCGTTGTTTTGTTTAATTGTATTCGAAACAGCCATCAGTGCTGATTCGAGGCACTTGCGTCTACGGAAGTTAGTTTCTTTGATCACTAATTGGGCGTCCCTGAATTTCATGAGATGATTGGTGGAATTTCGGTGTTGTACACAGGCGTTGTTCAAGTTATCGTTCCTACATACGTAAATGTGTTCATTGAGGCGGGTGTCGAGGTTTCTTGCTGTTTCACCTACGTAAATCTTGTCACAGCCTCCACAGGGTATAGTGTAAACTCCTGCGTTGACTGGTTCGTGGTGCTTGGATTTTGTCCTGGTTAGATCCCTTATTGAAGTGCTAGAAGCGATGGCGACTCTGGTGTTAGCTTGTGAAAGTACTTTTGAAACGTTCAGTGCAACCTGGCTGTTGAGAAGAATTATAACTTTGTTGGGAGTGGTGTTGGTGCGTGGAGAATTAATGATCTGAAGAGCTCTTTTCTTGCAGTCTTTGATGAAAAAGGAAGGAAAATGTAACTCAGTGAATGTTTGGTGAATGTATGAACATTCCTCGTCAAGAAACTCAGGACTACAAATTCGGTATGCTCTTAGGAAAAACCCGATGATGATGCCTCTTTTGGTCTTGGTATCTTGACTGGAATAGAAGTGTGTGAGATCGTTTTTATTGGTGGGTTTCCGATAAACTTGAAATCTTAGGTTGTTGTCTACTTTGTGAATGAGGACGTCGAGGAAAGGTAACTTGTCATTGGACTCTTCTTCTAGTGTAAACTGGATCGCCGGTTCAACTGCGTTGAGTTATAATTCTTCCCAACAGCCAAGTTGCACTGAACGTCTCAAAAGTACTTTCACAAGCTAACACCAGAGTCGCCATCGCTTCTAGCACTTCAATAAAGGATCTAACCAGGACAAAATCAAAGCACCACGAACAATTCAACGCAGGAGTTTACACTATACCCTGTGGAGGCTATGACAAGATTTACGTAGGTGAAACAGCAAGAAACTTCGACAACCGCCTCAATGAACACATTTACGCATGTAGGAACGATAACTTGAACAACGCCTGTGTACAACACCGAAATTCCACCAATCATCTCATGAAATTCAGGGACGCCCAATTAGTGATCAAAGAAACTAACTTCCGTAGACGCAAGTGCCTCGAATCAGCACTGATTGCTGTTTCGAATACAATTAAACAAAACAACGGCAGCTTCACCATCTCTGAAGTCTTAGCAAGAATCCTCCTGAAAACAGTAAACCCTGCCATCACATTGTCTCTCCTGTTATACTACACAAAGCACATTACAGAGAGTGAACACTGAAACAGGCTGCCTCTATCCAGTCTATATTTGTCCAACCTATTTTTATGTTACCCAAGTAATAGCTTTTATATCCTTTTACTCATGTACGAATTAATTGTTCTACCATATTGTATTACTACTACCACTACAACTTTTGTCACTACTACTACTACTACTACTACTACTACCACCACCACTAGTATTGCACCTCACTCTGAGCCTATATATACCCTCTGTGTCCATGTATTGTTTGTAATGGCTTGATAAAGCTCCTGGAGAGCGAAACGTTGCCACAATAAAATGTCACATTAGTTGCACTTGTGTCCTTTTACTTTACATATTGTCGGTAATTCTACCAACTTTATTACACCCTCAAGCCTGTCAATAAATGAGTGTAACTGATAACACAGCTTCATATAGTTTAGTAAGACCAGCATCACCATTGGGGTTAAGAGTAACTAACCTCCCTCAGCTTGGTAATGTGTGATGTCGCTTTGATTCACCTTGCAGTGGTATCACCTGGATCTACCTGGTGACCTGATGTATTAATCTCACCTGCGATGAACTGACGTAGTGCTGCCATGTGAATTTACAGAAGTCATGGCATTAGGATTTATCTGACAGTCATATCACATAGGCTGACCTGCTGAGGTAATGCCACCTGCATTTTCATCAAGTAAAAACGGAGTTAAAAGATTCTATGAAGAGAGTAAGAGAAGAAAAAAGGGAAGGGAGAAGAGAGAAAAAATATGCAAGAACTAAAGGAAAGAAGTAAAGAGAATAAAATAAGCAGAAAACAATGAAAATGTGAATCATTCAGTACTAGTAGTGGAGGCTTGATTCTTAGAAGCCGAGAGGGAGAGGAGAGAAAGCACGATAGAAGACGGGGCGGTGAATCTGAGAGGCAAAAACTGGAGAAATAGGAATGAAATGGAGAATGGACGAAACAGCAGAAAGGAGAAAAGACTAAACGAAGAGAGATAATGTAGTAAGAAAAGGAGAGAGAGAGAATCACTTACCAAGGTCCTGTGGTCTCTGATGAAGGCTCGCATGTTGTACTCTCGTGAGCGCTTGACCGCAGCCTCGTCCCTGTGGGAGAGAAAGATAACACTTATCGTTGTCGTTAAAACATAAAAATATTAGAAAGCGATATTTAGAAGAATAGTTTTATAAGTTTAAAGTTAAGCAGCAGCATATCAACTTACCATAGTAAAACGAAGCAGTAAGATTTTAAAATATAATTGACAATTTGGCCCCAACACAGTCCAATAAAAAGTTGAACCATTCTCTAGGGTAGGATACATCAGCATTAAACTGCTGATGCCGGAGACCCGCGTCAGGAAACATTTGTCCTGTTTCCTGACAAACCTTACCTAACCTACCTTCTCGGAACGTTCAACTTCTTCCCAATATAACTAAGACATATGTCAAGAGAAATCTTATTTAGTTTAACAAAACATCACCAGCTGCCGGGGAGAGGCTTACAGATAAGCCTCTTGTTTTCAGATATACATGTGACTGGTGTAGAGCTACTTCTATCCTTGCATCTCAGCCTAAGGCTGGTTAATCCGCAGCCAATACAGCCTGGTTAATCCGCCACTTTGCGTAGACAGCAGTCCACTCTCGAAGAATCTTAGTGTGTTTCTGGCAATGTTTCAAATATGTGCTGGTAGCGGCTGAATAACGATGAAATACAGATGATGTGTGTTCTCTTATTGCGGCCATGTTACCCTGGTGTTACAATTTCTCTCACCTCTCGCTTCAGTCAGTAACGGCAGTGTGCAAACAAATCAGGAAACAGATAGGAGGGTGTGGCATGCAAAGAGTACGTACCCTTCATTCGGCGCATGTACACACCCTCATTAAAAGGCTATCTCCCCCAACCTGCAAACCAGGTGCTAAGGGTTGACGATGGAGCCCCATCGTTCAATCAGTACCCGGGTTGCAGTTAATGAGATGGTTTTGGCAATCACAGAGGTGTTGTGGGTACCACACACCTGTCTGCCCTTGTCATTCCCATTCTAGAGCTGGTTGAAGCACGGTCTGCTCTCTAGTGGCTTCGATTCTGCCTTGCTTACCGTGGAGTGCACTAATACCTATTGTTGTACATAGTGTACATAATTCTGTTCTTACTTGGTGAAGGATACTACAAGTTAAAAGTTTTTCTGCTGTGTTTATTTTGCTCCTTTACACCCAGGATAACAGGCCTTTGGACTCCTGGGTTGTAACAGGGGTTGAACCCATGCCAAGCGAGGCTATTGCGTTAACCACTCGGCCGTGATTTATTTGCAATCGTATTTTTACGAATTTGTGAATCATGATGACAGTGTGTAGATTTGGCCCTGTAGTATCTTCTGGGTATATAATATCATGTGGTATAAACCTTGGTAATAAATACCGACAAGTTGGTTTAGAAAGACACGTAAGCAAACACTATAACATATTTACTAGAAAACGTTTCGGTCCTGGGACCTTGATCACTTCTAACATACAGAGGTAGAAAGACATTATATATATAGGCGGAGAGTGAGGTGTGACGCACGTGACCTGAGGAATGTCATAAGAACATAAGAATGGAGGAACACTGTTGAAGGCCTACTGGCCTTATCAAAACAACCTCTATCTATGATAAGGACGGGTAGACGATGAAACCATGTGACTCCTGTGTTGTTGGGTTGGTGCTGCTTAAGTATCATGTATGTCAATGTTTTTGAAATTTTGTAGTTTCCAGTGTTGCGTTCTATAGTGTCGGTGACGGCGATTAGTGAGGCTTCTAGGCACCGTCGGCGTCTGAGGTCTGGTTCGGTGAGAACGAGTTGTGCCTCATTCCAGTTCATCAAATGCCCCGTGGAGTCTCTGTGGAGGACACATGCGTACCTTACATCGTCTCTGTTAGAGGCATTTCGATGCTCATTCAGGCGGATTGCAAGATCTCTGCCTGTCTCGCCTACATATTTCTTGGGACAGAACCCACAGGGGATAGTGTAGACGCCTGCTGTAGAAGTTAGAGGTGTGGAGCTGCGTTTCGTTAGTGAGGTCCTTTTTGATAGTGATGTGTTTATTGTGGAAACGTTGATGTTACTCTTTGAAAAGTGCCCTGCGAGTATTCGTGGCAACATCCCCACATGGGAGTACTATGAACTGTTTAGAGGGCTGTTCCAGGGGCGGTTTGTTGAGGATAGCTTGTGCCTTGAGTCTGCAATCTCGGATGAAGAAAGGGATGGGAACTGAAGACGTGTAAAGGCTTGTGTTATGTAAGTGCATTCTTCTTCTAGAAAAAAAGGGCTGGAGATGCGAAGAGCTCTCAAGAAGAAGCCAATGAGGACTCCTCTCTTAGTGCGGGTGTCTTGGTGTGAAAAAAAGTGTATAAATCGCCCTTGTTGGTAGGTTTTCTATACACTTTGAAGAGAAGTTTGTCACTGTCGGGAGATCTGCACCAGTAGAACGTCGAGGAAAGGAAGTTTGCCCTCATTTTCGAGTTCAAGTGTAATCTTTATTGATGGTTCAATTGCATTGATCTTGTTGAGAAGGGCCTGGATATTGAGACGTCTCGGATAGAAAACCAATATATCATCAACGTATCTTAGCCAGGGAACTGTGTTGGGAATAGGGTGTGAATTTCTCTGTCTCCGGGTTTTCCATGAAGAGGTTGGCAAGCCAGCACTGAGCGGGCTGCCCTTTTCCATCCCAAGCATTGTTTGTAACAGTTGTCCTGATACTTGAAGTAGTTGAAATTAACACACAGTTCCACTAGATTGATGAAATCTAGAAGAGGTAAAGGGAGGTCGTGGTTTTCAGTGAGCCTCTGTCTCAGAATGTTGATTGCAGCGTCAGCAGGAACGTTGGTAAAGAGGGCTGTGACATCGAAGGAAGCCATGCTTTCGTTTTTGACATTCAGGTTGGAAATTCGGGAGAGAAGGTCACCTGAGTGTTTGAGGTGGTCTTCAGTTCCCATCTTTCTTCATCCGAGATTGCAGACTCAAGGCACAAGCTATCCTCAACAAACCGCCCATGGAACAGCCCCCTAAACAGTTCATAGTACTCCCATGTGGCGATGTTGCCACGAATACTCGCAGGGCACTTGCTAACATCAACGTTTCCACAATAAACACATCATCTATCAAAGACCTCACTACGAAATGCAGCCCCACACCTCTAACTTCTACAGCAGGCGTCTACACTATCCCCTGTGGGTTCTGTCCCAAGAAATATGTAGGCGAGACAGGCAGAGATCTTGCAGTCCGCCTGAAAGAGCATCGAAATGCCTTTTAACAGAGACGATGTAAGGTACGCATGTGTCCTCCACAGAGAAATCCACGGGGCATTTGATGGAACTGGAATGAGGGACAACTCGTTCTCCCCCGAACCAGACCTCAGACGCCGACGGTGCCCAGAAGCTCACTAATTTGCCGTCACCGACACTATAGAACGCAACACTGGAAACTACAAAATTTCAAAAACATTGGCATACATGATACTTAAGCAGCACCAACCCAACAACACAGGAGTCACATGATTTCATCGTCTACCCGTCCTCATCATAGGTAGAGGTTGTTTTGATAAGGCCAGTAGGCCTTCAACAGTGTTCCTCCATTCTTATGTTCTTATGACATTCCTCAGGTCACGTGCGTCACACCTCACTCTTCGCCTATATATATATAATGTCTTTCTACCTCTGTATGTTAGAAGTGATCAAGTTCCCAGGACCGAAACGTTTTCTAATAAATATGTTATAGTGTTTGCTTACGTGTCTTTCTAAACCATAATATCATGTATTTCTTTCCTCAAGGTCACAAGTGCATTCCATATGATAGGAGACATCCAGTAGTGTGTGTGCTTTACTGACCATGAAGAAAGTACACTTTGTACTTTCTCCACTTTTAATATCTATCTTACATTTAATAGAAGTGTAAGCACAGAATAATATTCTAGAGGCCACCACTAACTCGAATATCACGGTCATTAGAGGCATTTCAGAAGTTTTGAAAGTTTCCATTACCTACCCTCTCATTCTTCTGCTTTACTGTGCTCTTTAAATAACAGTCATCCAACATAATTCGCTTAGAATTTTTTTTGTTTAACCTATATTTTTGTAATATCCAGTATTTGTCGGTCTAGCCATTTTTTCTTGTTTTTTTTTTCTGGCATCATTTGTTTTCATAGCGAGTAACTCTTAGACACACTTGTTTTGATTATTCACAAGATACGTTTCTCTCCCAAAGAGATAGTCTGCCTTTATTTTGTATCAAGTTCGAAGGAAGGAATCTGACAGAAGGGGGTAGGCCTGTTGGGAGGAAGGGGATTAAGTTGGAAGGAAGAGGTGGCATTCTGGGAGGTGGGGAGGATCCTACTAGAAGGGTCTCGTTTAAAAACAGATCCTGATGGAACGAGGGGAAAGGGCCCCTGTGGGGAAAGTGGATAGGGGGCCTGTAGGGAGGTTGGGCAGTAATGCACCATAAAAAAAAACAATAATACAGGGGATGGACGATCAACTACAACACTGGTGCCTAGAGAGACTCAGAGAGTAAGTGCAGCAGCCAAGCCTCGAAGAATTTAAGAAAATTAATAACTCAGTGTGTTTGGTAGATGCGGCCTCTTAATATTCAGGGTATTTCACTCGTAGAAGGCCCCCCCGAGTTATCGCTTACTACAGACTTAATATAAAAACAAGACGGTTGCGACTACGGAAGTACCAACTCGGGGCGTCCTAGGAGTGAGCCAACCTGTACAACCCGTGTTCATTCACTGTGACCTGAACATGACTGGCCATGCTGGACCACCTTCTCTCTCTCCTCACCCCCCCTCTCCTTTCACCTCTCCTCTCTCCCCTTCCCCATAGATTCCCTTACACCCATACCCTTGTCAATCCTCACCCCTGGCACCCCCTCTCCCGTAACTGCAGCTCTTCTGGAAGCAAACCTTTGAAGCTGTCCCAGCTACTTAACATTTAATGGAATAATTGACGATATCCTCATTGTCTCACAGCTCAGGCTGACACTACTGACGTCTTTCAGCTCAGCTGACACATTTCACCACCTTGTATGGGCTCTATCCCACTTAAAGGAATATGACAGGGAAACACAGC